TATACTAATCAGGCAAACCTAGGATTTTAGATATTGGTAGCTCTGCGGCAACTTAAACATTTAAATACAGTTTTGGTTTTGAACAGAAGTGTTTGTTTGCCTTGGTAAGCTTTCACGAGCCTTGGTGAAATTGAGATGGTATTGCTGGATGTACATGAGCTCCTTCAGCACAGGTAGTTACTCCAATGACGCAAAAATATGCGACGGGAGTCATCTCCCATCGCATAGTTCAGCAAATAACGTTTTAAGCCATGAGCGAAAACATGGCGTTGCAATTGCCAAACTCAATATTGCATTTAGTTCGTCAAACTTATGGTGCCACCACCACGTCGGTCGTGAAATTCGTGGTTACATTTTTAAGCAGAAGACGACTGAGCTCGTCGATGGGCTCATCATAGCAATCGTCATCCGCCCAGCTGAACGTTTGATGGCAAGTTTTGACTCAACGTGCGAAAGCGCCGTTTGACGTAAAATTGGAGCACCATCCAAGTTCAATGATAGCGGAAGTGCCTTCGCACCCTTGGGCTGAGGTGCGATTTTGCTCTGCGTTCATCGTCGACGCAAGTCGTCTTTGACGAGTCTTACATCGTGTGGGATCCCGAATGACAGAGTCTTGGAGTCTCAGAATAGTTTAGAAAAGGATGAGGAAAGTCTGAAGAAAACATGAGTAAACCTATTCTTTGGTGTGATGGGGTCAGTTCCATTACACATGTTGTGGAACCACACATTTTAAGTGCGGTTTGCATTAATTATATGTATCTTGCATAGTTCTTTATTTCGAAATTCTGTTTTATCAGGATTAGCTGCACTTATCAGTTTAGGAAAAATGCAACGCCTTTTGGCTATAATGAATGTCACTTCGCCCTCTTCTCTTCCTTCGCGTAAATCGACGGCTTGCTGGAAGCAAACAGCACGCGGTGAAGCTTGATAATCAAAATAAGTCTTTCTCAGTAAGTGTGTGTATACGGAAGGGTCATTCCTGTTACACAGAAGACATTGAAGAAATAATATCTGCCGGTTCTATCCTGTCTCATTCTGGCTCCGCGGCCTAGGACCGCTTCTACCCCGCAAACGCTGCTCGAAGCACCTAGTATATCATAAATACCAGTTTTGGACAATCCAACCCCTATAACAAAGCTACCGTGACTTCATACTCGCATCAAAAGCGCTTCTGTCTCCTGATAGAATTGGGTCCTTCACTTACCCGAGCTCAACTTGAGAAAAGTGAGTGTCAGCTTCTTTCTCAACTTCTAGTCGATCTATGGTTTGTGGAATACAAGCTATACCAAAACATCGTATCTCCGATCTGGCTACGGGGCTAGTCAACGTTCCACTCTAACAGAGACTTTACAGTTCATTTGATGACTTGGAATGATCATTGACACTTTTACCAGCATGTTTTTCGCAGGACGAGCAAATATTGTAGCCGTATTTGGCAGCCCCAATAGCCCCGTGCACACTCTTCTGTTTTTGACAATTCCACGCCTAACATTATTGCTTTCCGTTCGCGATACCATCTCGACCCAACACGGCTTTATAAAGCCGAATCGCTAAAATAAACAGCAAGCAACACTGTGTTGGAAGCGCGTCTCTCGGGGAAGTCGCTTATTTCTTGTGGGATTTCAATGACCACAAACTAAACGGGTTCAAACGAGCCCAGCTCATTCCCGGTAGGTCGCCCTGTGCCTACTGGGACTCGGCGTTACTAGTTCGCCGTCTACTCATTCTAACCTCCAACTGCGAGGAAAAGGGTTATGGAAGGCGCAGATGAAAAGTACTTTCCTAGATGAGACATATGTGAGCTCCCTAAACCTGCTCAGTAGCAAGAGATTAATTGATTGCTTTTTTAATCACGACTAAGATTTATCGCCTCTGGTGTGGTCATAGTCCTCCGAATTTCAGTACCCCAACCGGCTCTGCGGGTCGGGATTTGTACTCCGCTATCAATGCAACATACATTGCTTCCATAAAATATTTAGTGAACACGGAAGGTCTCGATGCGATCGGAAAAGCATCACGAGGATGTTGACCATTACCGTCTTTGAAAAGTATAAAACTCCATTATGGTGACAGAGGTCGTAATTTTCGGATGAAGTCCGCTAATTCCTGCCTCACTAGAAGCGTGGACAATACACAAATTGCAATTAATACATGATCATCGTATCGATTAATGCCTTCGTAACCGAGGTAGTGATTATTCTCGTATGCGGCTTCCCAGCTAAAAGACCGCACTGACGGCTCTGTTCGGATCAGGTTAAAGACATTTTCTTTCAACTAAATGAGTAGGTTATCATGTCCAGACTTTTGACAGCTGGATGTTCAACATCAGCACCCACACAACGGTTTAATCTGCTCCTCAACCTGCGCCTGGCGGGACGCTCATGAAGAGTTGTTCCAGCGCTATTACAACAAAGCTGGTAAGAGCTTTCTAGCGAGCAATAACCGCATCTGGTCTTTTGACCACCAGTATTCTGATCCTGTCGGGATCGATTGTAGACATGACTAAGCTAGTTTATTGTTCAGGGGAATATTTCATGTACCATCCTCACAGAGGGTACATTGTTTTCGTGACATGGTGATTACAAGTGCTACCGAGCGCAATGGGGATGACATTAACTTTTCGCAGGGGGGATTTTCGTCAAAGTACCCGAGTTTTAACAAAGGCACTTAGGTCAAGTTCGTGGCTTCTATCACGAGCGGAATTGAGAGCATCTGTCTGGGTTTTAGTCAGCTTTGCTGTCTCAAAAGTCTATATATGCTGGATTTATCATATTTTAGCTATTACGCCTTAATCATTAAGATTTGACCGAGTCGTCTTCTCGTTATCATAATATCTCTTAACTTATTATCTCTTACGATGACACCACACCATCTTTATATTCTGACGTACGGCTAACAGTCCACATTTTCTGCAGAGCTCTCTTCCATAGCTTCATCATCTTCATTCGGGTTTATCCACAATTCCTTAAACGTGCAGTGTAAAATTTTGCACGATTATAGCAATAACTGTAAGGTGTCACTACAAAAGTCAAAGTACATTCCCCGTTGTACCACGTAAACCAAGTTGGCGTGCTGTGCGTATGTCTTATCCTTGTCAGTAGTTGTACAGGATAAATCTTGTACGATTGTAACAAAAATGATATTCCACTTTTGTGGAATTGAGCAATACCCATACGTACCACAGCATTGATACTAGTGCATTCAATGAGATCCCCTAAAGGAGAGGTCCGTGTGACGTGTGGGCTATTCGCCGTCTTTCGAGCAGTTACAGATAACATATTATTGAGATTATCAAGGCATATATATTTAGTCATTACATAGCAGACTTTTAGTTACTTTCGAGGCCTAGATAAAGCGCACGAAACAAAATTGTGCGAAAAATGCGCGGGCTGCTTCAGTCAAAGTTTAATTTGGTAAGGCAATCCATTGCAATTTTGCCCAAGTAGACCAGAATAGTGAAACTCCTACATATTATGCTTCTGAAGTTCTGGAGTCGGATAAGGAGTGCATAATCACAAACGTAAGCTCAATTGCGGAGATGTGAATGTAGAAATAATGCAATATATATACTCTCAATATCTGCATTTTAATGCCTCTTTAAGTAAGCTACTGACTGAGGAATGGAGTTTCTTTCAAAATGACTGTCATACCAATCTAATATCAATAGAAGGGCTGTTCTTGGTGAACCGTGTGCCGTCCTGTCGCTCATCTATAAATGTTGACATTGCCTCATAATTTTCGCTATCTTCAGTTTATGTAAGAGATCGGGTAGGTGATCACGATATGGCCCGGTAATTTCCGAATGTGGAAATCAAATCGTGGTAAGTGTGCTTGATTAGCAAACTCTTCAAGTATTTTTCCGAATAATAGTTGTTGTTTGGCGACATTGTTTACTTCGTTGTTTTCTTCGAACTACTCTTTAAACTTTTTGCACGTCTTTTCCTCGATCGGTCCTCGCTTAAACCAGTGGGATAATTTCTTTTGGCCAAAAAAAAGTAGCCTTAGAAGTCACCTTGTCGAAAGCTAACAACGTTGCCGCGAAAAACACAAGAATCTGAAACAAACGCATGGGCATCTTCGTTCTCATTTGTTTTTAATCTGCAAAGCTTCTAATAACTAAGGAAGTAGCCCCAGAAATTTGACGCTGCGCATTGATGTCTCTTTTATGAATGCTTTCGGGCTACCAGACGATCTGTCGCAGGATCGCAACAAAAACGAGCGCTTGGAAATTTGCAATTATATCTGATGTACAGAAACGCGCCGCGTTATTTGCCAAAAAAACACACAATTGCACATTTTAATCTTGTGCATATTGCATCATAGTCCAAAGCATAAAATTAAACATTTGCGCAGCACAAATGTATACCAATTGGTGAGCCCACTATCTGATATATCTATTCATAAACGGCACGCAAAAGTGCACACAATTATCAATGTATGCACTTTAAATTGGAGCTGCGTACAATATGTGCAGTACCGAAGCAGCAATAATATAAAGAAGGATTAGGGCTTGGAGTCGGCGCTTGGTACTTCTCTATAGTTTCGAATGGTGTGTGTGTGACTCCAAGTACGGCGTGGAGAGGTCATATGCGCATAGCCGATTTCGTTGAACAGACGGACTGGCAAATGGCATTTGCATTCTCACGGGATGGGATGTGCGTAAACTTCATGCTTTTTAAAACTCCTTTATCATGAGGAGGACTATTTTTTCCTTCTACTTCAACAAGTCCGCAAATTAAGGTCATTTTTTTCCTAAAATATCGAGTTTATCATATCTACGTCCCTACACTCCAGGCAGGATATATTTTTTATAGCGCATTGCCGCTTTCTGATTAAATGGAAATTAGATCTGACCCCAATACAGCTGAACTTTCGGTGTGAAGAACTACACAGGCGTCATATCCATGGCTTTCTGGATGATTTGTGAAAGCGGTAGGAAATGAGCTGAACGCTGTTGCTGCCATGCCGATTTTCTTAAGGCTTGCAAAAAAAGTGTTTCAATCACTTTGTTTGCGCCACTTTAAACAGATTATTTGCTCACGGTACGCTAAACTTCTAAGTTGATTTTTTTAATTATCAAGCGCCAAGTTAAAATGGAAAAGCTGACACAATGTGAGATCATGAAAACATCGTGCTTACTTTTGTCAGGACAGCGAGCCTATCTGGAGAAGCGATACATTTCTTTGTAGCTCTCCTTTTGAGCGTGAAAAACATAATTTGAATGATTTTAAGCTCAATTCTCTAGCCATATGTCAGTGTTCTGTTGATAATGTATTTCTCACTGCTATTTCTTCATAAATTTTGGGCGATTTGGGCCGACTTACACGAGTTGGATGATCTGGCCACTTCATGTAGAGAAGAGAAACCGTTAATTCCAGCTCCCCGCGACAACCACAAAAACCTGAAGCAAGTGCATAACTGCATGGTAATTGATAAAAGAGACCATGAATCTGATGTTGGAGTCATAATATATATGCTGATGGCGGCTGTTTGTCATAGAATCGAGATATGAACGAGATAATGTGTGATTGTTGCAGAGTAGGATTATGATTGGCTCTGTGGAAAAGTCTGCAGCTCGATCGCTCGAAATGTTTGTAGAAGATGAATGCGTTTTGTTAAATTATCGAGAAACGGCCTGCAGCGCAATACTGTAATGATCACTCATCCTAGCAACGGTGATCAACAGGCTTGATATGCATATGATAAATGCAGAAGTCGGCGAGACTCTTTGAGCTCGCAATAATACGATTGGGCTTCTAGATCTACATCACTTCAATATCAACGAACTGGCAATCGCCTTGGAGTTCCACGGCGTGGGGTTGGAACATGTTCCGCTGATAGTAAAGAGCACAGAATTCTTAAGCACGGTGAGTAGGTAATGGCTAGGTGTAATGGATGCAGAAAGTACATCTATATGCCTTCTGCATGCATTGTTAGAATTAATAAATGAGATTACAGTGTGGTATTCCAAAATGCATACGTAAGATTTTTTATGATGTCACAATCATTCTGTGTGACACAGAATTCTACTTCGGGATCTGTACTGGTGATCAGACCGACGTGTCGAAGTGGGTAGCGTAAGCCGGTCCCTCCTACTGAATACCTTTCAAGAAAGCTATAGTTCAAGCTTTTCGAAGCTCAAACTCCGCACACCCACGATCTTGTATAAGTTGAGGCAGAGGCTTAACCTCAGTACACCCTCGATTTATAAACAAGAGCCCAAGGTTTGATCAGAAAACCCTCTATGGTCACTTGGGGTGTTTTGCATGTAGCTAGGAACCATAACTCATTTTAATTCAGTCACAGATTTGCCTGACAGGCTTAATTCGTTCTTCGTCCCTCCAGGTCAGGACTGTTCTTCTCCCTCCACGTCGGGAATCGCTTCCCCATCGCACAAACGTGTGTGTTGTGTTTAAGGGACTGTTTGTGAACAGCGCCTTCTTATTTCTGGTAGCTACACTCAATTATGATTTGACAAGGTGGCTGCTGAGCACGCCGTGTATTCCAGTTCAAGCCATACTCTTGACCTCGTCCGAGCGACATGAAAGGAGTTGGGGTACCACTCGGATCATTAGTACCGCAAAATGAAGTGCTGACGAATAAGATATTTTTACACTTGTTTTTATATGAGTGGATGATACTCCAGCGGATGTGAGAAGCCATAGGAGAAGCTGCTGTAGTCAGTTTACTGCAGTCGTGTTCCCTGATGATCACAAGAACGCAGCCGTCAGTTTCATGCATCATGCGATTATGGAATCTCGGAAGCAGGTCGCAATTCCTGTTTCTTCGTACTGAACGATGACTTTGGAACCGGACGTGTCTTTGTACCGTTGTGAAGAGAACGAGCCTCTCTTGCTATGGTTTGTCGTGTTGGATGAAGCAATCACTGCAAGACAACTGCGAGACCCCTTGCAGCAAGTGCTGATTGCAATATCATACACTGTGGGTCGTGCAAAGAGGTGGGCGTATGGTAGGCGTTAAGCCGATGTAAACTGTTCGTATAGCTACGAACGCTTAAAAGTCGAGCTAAACAAGGCGTTCGAAATACCACAGACTAAGTTCAGTTGCCGTGTCTAATTCTTGAAGCTTCGTCAAGGTCGTTACGACCTACACTCGTTTGCACAGCGTGTTCGCTACTTAAAATCGAGCATTGTCGACGAGCCAATTGACGTTTCAACGCAAGTTGAAACGTTCATAACGGTTTTGAACGATGGTCCGATCCAGAATCAGCTGTTCCGAGAGTATACCATGATGCAGGAAGAGTTCAGTATCAAGTAAGCCGAATTCAATGGCTTCGTACCAAGGCAAGTGTGCCAGTCGACTGGTACAAGAGATCGTCCAGAGCCCGATGGACATCTCGTACATTTCTACGTGTAGAAATTAGCGTCCTCGCAACGGTGAAAAGTGATTCTGTTGTGAGAAGCCGGGTCATATTGCTCGGAACCGCATAGTGTCTCTGCCGAGTCGGCAACAAACACTGCGGACGATGTAATAGTCGTCGCTTCAAACACTCCTAATGGTAAGAAATGGGGGCGATCAGTAGGGGCAGGGTTCTCACTGGGTCCAAGAAGTGTTTTGTGGATAATGTAGATACACAGAACTCTGTGCATGATGCACATGGAGCCTCGAATACGAGGCAAGTAGTATCAGGCAAAATGCGACACTGATTATCCAACAAGTCTTTGTTGATAACTTTGAGGAATTCACTACAAACTTTAATTGACACTGGTGTGTCAAACAGCTTCTTCAAGCGCAGATGTTGACTGGGTGTGGTGTTGGCCTGCCAATCCAAAAGAGAAATGATCATCCGTTCAGCGAACGGATTAACGATGAAGATGCCAAAGTAAGTCATTCGCTTGTCAATGAAATTTCAGGATTTTAGAGGTGAAGACGAGGTTGTCCTGTTGAACCTCGATGATGAGTTTGATATCATCCTTAGGTATGCTGCGGTTGAAGGATCATCAACCTAGCGACGACTGGATGAATATTAAGATCGTCGTTAACAAATCGTACAGCGCTCATTCGAGCAGCATAACGACGAACGAAATGGTATGGGCGTATGCATTTGTCGAGCAAGTTACATATGTCTCAAGTGATATTGTAGTGTATGATGGCCCCCTATGTTCAGACGACAAGCCCAAGAAGATAAAAGTAACGAGAGCAACTACAGGCGAAGCTTTCAGGCGCAAGAAAAAGACTGTTTCCTTTGCCATCGACTTTAATGTCATGGTCGATGATACTTTTAAAAATAGTGGGATCAGAAGCAAAGACCCATCCCGAGAATAGAATAAGAAGGCCACCAATAAAGTTTTTTTTCAAGTTTTTTGCGTATTTTTGGTCGATGCAGAAGTTGATTGGATGGAGGAAATGATCAAGAACAAGACACTTCGAGCGAGTTTGTAGATATCGTGGCCAACAACGAAAACTGTGACGTCGATAATATCTGTCACGTGAAGATACGAGAATCCTCCAAGTTTAGTCAAAGAATTTGTTTTCTTGTCGTGCAAGAAGACGGTGAATCGTAGCCTGGCAAAAGACGAGATTTTACAAATATGTGCGATCGTCGAAGAAGTGATCGAAGATGAAACTAATACTGCGGAAGTATTTGATGAAAAGATAAGGAATGAGAGGTTTGATGAGCAGTCGAGGGGACGCTCTAAAGACAATTTCCTTTAATGAACTTGTCAAGGAATATTTGGTATATTCTTAGACAGAGATTCGAACAAATTGCCATCTAACAGAGGTATTCGTCAAGAGATTGACATACTTCCTGCAAATATTGTGTCATACGGCGGTGGCCGTTGCCATAGAACAAGTCGTAGCAATCGACAAGTTCTTTACGCAACTATCACGCACGTGAGAGCAAGTTATTCGCATTGTGTTCAATCTTTCCATAAGTTGAACGATGCGACCATACCTGCTCAGACTCCAGTTCTTCGACCCTTGATGGAATGGTTGGCAGTATCGTAATAGTGCAATCGACCTGAAAGATGGTTTCTATCCAATACGATCCGCAAAAATGATACACAATTTAATGCGGTCAGACCCTCCCCCAATGATACGATGTGGAAATGGTTAGTAATTCCATAAGGTTTAGTGATCGCTCCCGCGTTTTTAAACAAGATGGTCACGAATCTCTTCCGTCCAATGAGAAAGCTTGTGCCGAGTTACGCTGACGATATATTCGCTCATAGTGAGAAAACGGTGAGAAGTCTGATGTCGATGTTCATCTCGATCAACTCCGTCAAGTCTTCCAAGTTATGCGAGAGAATAAGCTCTACGCTAAACTGAAAAGTGCGTTTTCTTTGCACCTGAGATCTCCGATCTCGGCTGCATTGTGGGCAAGAAAAGCGTTCGTGTAGATCCGGAGAAAGTCAAAGATATCAATAATTGGTTGTGCCAAATAATGTGAAACAGCTTAAACAATGGTTGGGCTTGGCCAACTATTTGCACAGATACACGCGCAATTATGCCGCGTTGGTGCAACCCCTAACAACTACTTTAAAGATAATTGTCGAGTGGGAAAGGTCAAAAGATCACCAGGCGGGATTTGCCGAAGTGAAGAAAACTGTTTTGCAAACCACGATAATTTTTTATGTGGTCTGCGATGCAAGATGCTAGGACGATCAGTGGTACAGGGTTTCACGTGCCCATTATGAAGGGTGTGGGTCACACAAGATGGTGTGATCACAAAA